TGCTCCAGTTTTAGTCAGTAGTCCAAAATTTTGAAGTTTCGTATGCACTTCGTTGCAAATCTGAAACTATATCTGTTATGTTTATTACGTTCTAAGATTTGTTATTATCCTGCAATTGTGCAGTAGCAATAATTTGTTGATGCTGTTTACTTTGCTTTTGTAATAAATTATGTAGCTTAAATACATAAATAAGCGAAAATGAAATACAGAGTAAGCTGGTGTGCAACTGCGTTGGTCTAATTGCGAAATATTTATGTAAGCACATTTGATGGCATTTGTGAGATACATTTTCCAACGAAATTGGTGTTAACATTTTCATTGTCCTGTTGACTTTGTTTTGTTGTTGTGGCCCGCTTTGCAGCGATTTCATCCGACAAAAAGCAGAAAACGGCAACAATGTGAAGCGAACAATAACAATAACAAAAACAGCGACAAAAGCAACAAAATTCAATTCGAGCATCCTTGTTGCTGTGATGGCGCAGCGAATTTAGCAAAATTTCGGTAGCCGAAAATAAATTTCAGCTACGAGTGCTCTCCATCCAGTAAACAAAATGAGCAGCTAAAGTTAAACGAAAATTGCTACACACAATAGATTCCAGTCAACAGAGTTTTCACATTAGAAAAAAGCTGCAAAAAACAAATGCAAATCAAACAGAAAGCATATTGAAAACAAAAACACAACAATATTGGTAAAATCAGCAAAAAACAACAACAGCAAAAACTAAGCAAGAACGTTAAATGCCAACGTAGTAGTAACACTGTGGCGACACTGGAAGCTGCGCTGTTAGCAGCTACGCAAACGTCAATGCTTATGTTGACAGTAAACTGTTAAAAAAAATTTGTATAACAGAACTGAATAAAAAAATTTAATGGAATTAATAAAAAAAGGCAGAGAGTAACGAAATGTTAAAAGTGAAAATGTACGACGCCCCACAAACTTTGTATGTGCACAGTTTTAATTCAACAAAACAGAAAAGTATAGTGCAAAAAATTAATAAAAACTATTGAAATCAATATAATATTAATTTATAACAAATATTTATTTCACTTTAGTTTAAAATAACAATAAATAAAAAAAATATTACTGAAAAGTCTACACAATATGGGCTCAAAGCTGCTAAAAAGTTTGAGTGAATTAAAATTACAAAAACAAAATAAAAAGTTACAAAAAATGTAAGAAATTAACATTATTGATAACATGTATAAAAAAATATTATTATAAACGAAATTACTTAACAAGATGCTTCCAAATAAATTAACAGTAATCTAGCGTAAAATATTACTAAAAGCAAAATTTTACAGAACACAATATACATATTTTAAAAAATTATTAAAAAAGTTTATATTTTCTTAATAACATAAAGAAAGCTACAGTGAAAATAAATAATTTAAAAAAAAAATTTACTGTATATATCAAAGCCACCATTTAAGAAAAAAAATATAATTTTTGTGAAGTGCGCAATGTATTTGTTAAAAATATCTGTTTCCCACACATATAATTTCCAAAAGGACATATTATGTTAATTTCGCGTCCAAAAACCATCTGTAAAAATTTAATTCGCATTTTTAATTTTCAAAAAATTAAAACTTAAGTTGTAAAAATTGTAATGATACAATAATATACACCAATATTTTAAATAAAAGCAGTAATATATAAAACACTTAAGTGATTATGGCAGCATGTCAAGCACCGATGGAAAAAGCTTTTCAAAATAAAATGATTTAACAGAAAAATGTATTGTTTATGTCTATATAATAATATCAATTTTATGAATACTCATAATATAGTCGACCGAAACGATACTTCTGCTATATTAGTCCCATCTTACTGAATATAACTATTCATAATAGTCCATCTCCTAAATTAATTGGAGATGAACTTTTTTAATAATTTATTAATAATTAATAATAAAAATAATTTATTAATTATAAAAATATATTTCTTAGTTTCTTAGTCTAATTCTCTCCTTACACTTATTGTAAGGATAATATTAGTTAATGTTGTATTTTTTTTATTTTTCTATTATTTTAACTATAGGTGCTTGGTTAATATTACATATTACATATATATTAATAACAATCAGTATTATTTTTTTTGTTCATACTCCAATTTTAAGATTCTATTAACAGATTTTTCGCGTTTTTCGAGGTGTTTTTGGTGTAGTCTCACCTTTTTTACAGTAATGAAGCATCACATAGTATATTTCTTCAGATTTATTTTCCAATCAAAATAGCTTTTTACTCAAGCGTTGAACTACTATAAAGTAGACTGAAATGTTATATATCAAATATGTGGTTATCGATATGATTAGAACATTTTTTCCATGAAAATTCATTACATACTTTAAGATTTGTTTCATTACCATAAGACAGCTCCACAATATCCTAAGAAAATCCCGATCCTGAAAATCCATTATTTTGACTGATATCCAGAATGCGGTTATTATTTTAAATTTAGTTTTTTTTTCTTGGAATACTAAGAAGTCTGGTTTGCTTAATTTGGTCATAATGCAATTGTAAAGTAAATTTAAACAGCATATTGCCGTATTATCTGTCCCAATGTCTTAGTTGCCGATGTTGATAGCTAAAATTGAACTATCAAATGGTAGAATACGTTCAGAGAAAACAAAATGAATTCAGTTGTTTGTTGTTACCAAAACAAAATGAATTCAGTATTTAAGAAAATCAATTTTCTGTAAATCAAAATGTAAATCAAAAGTAAGATTTTTAAAAATTTTTAAGCTTCTTTTAATTATTTTAAATACTATCTGCTACGTTGTTTTAACTTGTTTTTCATTAAATACCTAATATATTACAAGCAAATTAAAAATCTATAAGTTCTTCATATTGATATAGGTACTAAGAAAAATTTCACTAAATTTTAAAAAGATTACAAGCTTCGGGCTCTTCCTGAACTCTCTCCTACACACAAATTACTGAGTTTATGGCAATTTTTTATTAAAATAGCAGAATTCTTTGAGTTTTTTCTTGGAATTTGTTCTTTTTTTTTTTTGGAAAACTGCTATTGTACACATGCTTCATTGCACAATTCAATTATTTCCGAAAATTTCTTTGGCCTTCAGCATAAAATGTGCACTTACATGCTTGTTTCTAGCACTATTAAGTGCACTAAAAAAAATATTAAACATGAAATTTATATCCTTTGACATTTTGCAAGTTTATTAAAAAAAGTAAATAAATGTAAATAAAACTAAAATAACACATACCAAATTGTTGATGTGCTCTTAGAGTTGAGCGCTCAACGCTCAATGTCACAGATACATTTGCACAGACGATAAAATTTGTTACAGTGAGAAACATGCAAAGCACAAAAATTCATTTTACTTTCAATTTTTAACACAAAAAGGATAACAATAGCACAAATATAATACAAAGTCCTTAAACTTTTTTCCTAATGAAACAGAGTGTTTTTTGTAATAATCATTTTTTTCTTGGCTTACGGCGAAATGTGGTAACTCATCATTGTTTCTGCTGATATTTACATTTATGCCTATGTTTTGAAATTATTACGGTCTTAATTTAAAAAATAAATAGAAAATACTATTTATTTATATAAATACAACACATAATAACAGACAGTATTAAAGCAATATGAAAAATCAAACAAAAGATGGTTTAAAACTATCTTAACCATAGTTCTCAATATAACATGCGTTCTTTAACTTTCCTAATGATGGATCAATATAATAAGAGCAATACTTCCATCCTGTACTGTGTTGTTCAATAAGTTTATGAAGCACCATCGATTTGTCAGTATTGGAATTGAAACTCCTTCTTCATTTAAATACATTATAATCATTATAGATTCATTTAAACGCGTCCTTTTTTTTCTTGACTACAATCCATTTGAAATTGACGTTTTGGTGTATTTTTTAGCAATGGAAAACGTTGAACATCCTGTGTTGATCCAATTCCTTATAGAAAATATTCAAAGGCAATATATATCAATTAATTCCTATATGATAAATATGTTATGTGAATATTTTCCTTTTAACAAGGGCTTATGAAGTGGAATGAGTTGTTTGGATGTGGTCATACAAGTACTAAAGACGAGCTAAGAACTGCACCAACACAGACATTAGTATAGAAATTTAGTAACTTTAATATTATCAAATGTTGCGAATTTAACCTTCAGTTGTAGAACATATCGCGTAACAATATTGTTTTGAAACTTACTGAAATACAGTTCCTTACAAATCAGTAAATTAACAATTAATTAGAAAGTACTAAAAAACCATTCATATGGAGTTGCGAGTAAAATATTTAACTCATATAATCTATGTCATATACGTAGTATATCTAATTGTTATCCTCTTAGCCAAAAAAGAAAAGGTAGTTTCCTATTTCTCCTATCCTCCTATTCAATTTAATAGAATTCTAATCATATTCGCATATTTCTCCTGTAACATATTGTAAGTGTAATTAAAATTGATATAATGATCGATGAGGTTTTAAAATTGTAAAAATTGTAAAAATTGCAACCAACATTACACCCACGCTTTTCTATATTCATACGAGTATGAATGCGGATGGAATCGCCTCCCATCAAGTGTCAAGTTACGCATATTTTGAAACAAATGAGAGGGAGTAATGATGTACTTTGTGTGTTCCAAGACTGTTTAAAAGCAGCATTTACGTAAATGGCGCTAATATTAAAATTAATGTAGCGAAATGGCGTTAAAAATATCCTTATCTGCAGATAAGGATATTACAACAATTACAACAATTACAACAAGTACTCTCTGTGTTCTAGCATACTCAATTCGAATATACATTCTATCTGTAAGAATGTATTTATAGAACAATGAAACAAAAAATTAGCATATTTGAAGCGACTAATAATCACGAAAGTTAAACACCATTTTGCTCTTTATTTTCAGATGCATCAACATTGAAACAAATGCAACTGACACCGCGTTTTATTACAGAAAATTCAAAAATTGCAATTAAAAAAATTGAACAGTTAAACATTGCTAAAAATAAAATATGTGGTCGAATGAAAACTTAAGAAATAATGTTTGCTTTAAAATGTCAAAAACATTTCCAAAGTGTTGCAATAAATACAAAAGTTAAGTGCAGCGTTTTTACAAAATTAAAAAAGAAAAGAACTCAACGATTCACATGAGTGAAGCAAACTATTTAACTTACTCAAACGACATACTCGTGCATCTAATGTTAATCTCATTTAACCGAAATCTTCTATAAAACCACAATCAAATCGAAAAATTCTCCAAGAATCTAACACAACAAAAGACACACTAAAACCACAACTTCAACTCCCGTGCAAAATGCAACACACCGCAACTCGCATGCATTTATGTGTTGCAACTTTGTGCTTCGTCTCATTAACGTTAACCGCAACACTGGTAAATTGCCAACGCCCACTACTGAATCATACTTTCAATGCAATAATCCAAGCGCAGCAACACAATTATCTCGGCAGCGGTAAGCAATTGCGTAATGGACGCACACATGATTTGCCTATACCGCAGCCCACCATGCCGACCGCACAGATACAAAGAGCTGTGCCACTCTATGATGACTTCGATGTGGATGGAATGGGAACACGTATGCCACCCCTTACAGGTGGGAGGCGAGAGAACAGGCGACGCTTAAATTTGGCTAGTTTGGGTACGGGAAACTTGCCACGCGGTGATCGTGGTAATGCAAGACGTGGCATTGATTCATTACGTAAAGAACTGATGAAGCCATCTGTGGGTGGACCAGGTGGTGGCATTAGCGGCAATAGTGCCGGTTATCCTTCATACTCTGCTACCTCATCAATTGGTAAGATCGATGGCATAGGCAGTTTGGGTCCAGCCGATCGATATGGCGACCAATTGCGACCTGCGGCAGTACACTCAACACGGTTTCCTCCGCAATACTTGGCCAATCAAGCAGGTTAGTGAAAATTTTTTTCAAATGGGTTTTTTAAGATAATGGTTTCAATAATATTCAGATATTATCTAAAAGCTTTACTCTCATTTCTCTCTAATACAGGTGCAGTTGATGAAAAGCCTTTACGTTTAAGTCCTAAGAAATCATCGAATTCCATATCGGAAATAATGAAATTGAACAATAATGCTAAAATGCAACGTTATACTCCACATGGTCAAGCTGATGAACCGGCTGGGGGTGTTACACATGGAAACATCGAAGATGTTGATGATGAACATGATCCCATGCAAGTCATTAAAGAAAAAATGCGCATAACTGCGCCTAAATCCGTAAGTTTGTAAAAATAATATGAATACTAAAGCTATATAGTTGTTTATTAACGGACTACTGCATAAAATATATTTAATTATTTCCCAAAAGTACGATCACATTTTCGCAATACGTTTTCACTGTTAACTCATTAATTGTATAGTAAATAGCTTCGTTTTCCATACAAAATCTGTCTTGTGGTAAATTATACCATGTTCCCACTGCAGCTAAATCAATTTATGTTAATCAAATTAAGACTGGGTCATTTCGATGGGCATAAATTGATTTAACATATGAAAGAGCTTTTTATAGAGCTTTTTGTAAAAGTTGTAGGAGAGCTTTTAATGGTTGATTAATTGATCATGGAGGACGCGATTAATAGAAAAAAATAGGTGGTCTATAATAATTATAAAAAATAAGCATTTTAAAAAAATTTTATCTCTAGTTTATTCGACCTGTTGGTTTTTGTTGATATACATTTTATTGCATGTGTCAAATGTATTAAATTTCGGGCATTTTCCTTTTTGGGAAACATGTTTAGCAGTATTACATTTGACATTTTTGGTGTATATTCCCTTGTTTTATTCTTAACTAAGTTCAAAAAAACGAAGGCTCTTTGTATGGTTAATTAAATTACATGAGCGATCTAAATTAAATAAACTGGCAATGGGAACATACTACTAGTCAAAAGAGCGCAGTTATCCACTAATTGTCGTTTATTTAGGAGAATCTGGCTGAAAACATGGGAATATGGTAACCTCATATGCATAAAATAATATCATGAAAAACAAAAAGAAAATATGAAGTCAAATCCTATTTTTACATATAAACAAAAATAATAAATAAAAAGGGTTCGAACTGTCATGTAGAAACAACAACAAAAATTTGTTTGATTTATTAAAATAAAGCTGACTACACAAAGCTGTTTCGAGTATTGCCAAGGTCTAGTCATCAGTGAACTTAAGATATATTCGAATTTTTATTTAATTAGTTTATAGTTTATATGATTTTTAGGACTGTAAGTGCCAGGCCTAAAACTCGTGCCTATCAAATTAGAAACGATGACCAATCGTGTTTTTCCACAAGCACTCAAAAGGGCGTACCAGAGTTAGAAAAACAATAATATCTAAAAGATATTGAATTCATATGTATTGAATTAAGTATCTTCAATCATTTTTAAGTGCATTAGTAAAAGTAAAATAAAATAAGTATATTTCAAAATATTAAATCTTATAAATTTTATTAATCATTCGGTAGAAAAAGTCTTCACCTTAATCTCCCAAAGTATACTAGTATTATCAATTATTTTAGTTATTATTAATAGAATTACGACATATAATGTGCGCGTCCTAATTTTGTTCCACAGCCACCTTTTGCCGCTCACTTTTCCTTACTGACTTTCTGACTTTGATTCAATAATCGAGGCACTCGGCATTTCCTTAGAAGGTGCTAATGTATTCATGCAAGCACTTAATTAAGTTACTTGTGATGAAATGGAAAAGTGTCAATCGCTTAGAAGTTACTAATTGATTTAAGATACATTTGCTAATAACTTTTGATTGACGGCAGGAAATATTATGACAGAAATAATTCAATAATGTAATGTAGTTATTTAATTCTAAAAATAATAAGTTATTATCATATTTATTAATAAATTTAATAAATTACGACTTAGTGCGAAGCCAATTTGCTTCAATGCAAGTACAATAAAAGCATAGTACCTCAAAGATAACTGAAGGCAAGTCATACAAATATAACTTTATATAAATAAATATATATATGTGGTATTAATATATATTGCAATTAATTGTAACTGACATAAGTTTATGAAGTGTTCATATATATTTTCCAATCTAATCTACCAGAATCCATATGAATCTCATACTGAAGCAACACCTTCCTCTGAAATTGAGGATCAACTTGGCGTAAAATGTACATTTGAAACACCTTGCGCCTGGAAATGGACTGAAAATTTACCAGATGGTTTTCAAATTCTGAGTGGCGCTGAACTGGCCAAAAGAAATATGACTGGATTACTTCCAGGACCTATTGCAGACTCTGTTGATGATGCAAATGGTAAGTCAAATAATTCTGTTTGACTAATTAAAAAATAATTTACTAAATTTCACATTTGAAATAGGTCATTTTTTATACGCACGTCTATCACCAAATACAGTACAAGTAAATCTTACTTCTCCACAATTTAGTACAACTATGGAGAAATGTTTTCTCGAAGTCTATATGCACCAAAGTGACATGAGTCATGGACTCTCACGTGTTGTTGTAGAACCTCTGCATTCACAGGAAAGCGCTTGGGTACCTGCAGAAATACTAGGTGACAATTTTCGACAATGGGGTAGAAAATTTTATCGATTAGGTCGCATATCACGTGATTTTCGTATTGTTTTCGAAATTGTACCGAAATTGCAGGAAGGTCAGAAAGCACATGTGGCCATTGATAACCTACGTATGGTCAATTGTTTTCCAGAAGGCACCAAATCTGAAAAGTGTAGCACTTCACAAGTAAAGTGTATGATGAATAAAGTAGCGGTATGCATACCTTTGCCGCGAATATGTGACATAACCAGGGACTGTGATGAGGCTGAAGATGAGCTACTGAATTGTGGTAAGTATAATGAGAATAAACCAATAAAGACACAAGTATGGAACTACACGAATGGAAAATTTAACTGCCATTCACTTGTGCTTATCTCTTCATATGATTAATACGATATTGTTTTTGATAGTTTATAGTGGTCATTAAAACAATAAATTATGAAAAATAATTATACTTAGTTATTTCTTTACATTTTTCATGTAAACATGATTCCATGATCCAAATACATAAATTAATATTTATTATATTAACAGACAAAATACCATACGGTGGCCGCTGTGATTTTGAGAATGATTGGTGTGGTTGGCACGATTCGGGTAAAACCATACTTTCATGGTCTCGTCACACAGGCTCTTCGCCGACGCACGATACTGGACCCGATGGTGACCACACCTTCCAGCATCTGGTGAATGCAACTGGCGGTTATTATATGCTTGTCGATATGAATCAACATGTCAATAACTCCGAGAAGGGTTCACTCATTGGTTTCGCTAGTAACGCCATTATGATAAGCAAAACATTTAATCCGCCACCTCTAGTACATGGAAACCCTAATTCACCGTACCGCAATTCATGTGTGGTACGTTTCTATATACATCAATTTGGTAAGAATCCTGGCAGTATAAATTTATCGGTTGTTGAAATGAAAGAAAAGGAAAATATAACCACCACGCTCTGGTGGAGTACTAAAAACCAAGGAAGTGACTGGTTGCGTGCTGAATATGTGCTGCCAAATATTACATCTAAGTAAGTGAAACTGTGTTCAAAATGATCTATTGACTATATATTATCATGACTTTTAAGGTATTATCTCCAATTTGAGGCACGCATGGGTATGCGCATTTATTCTGATGTTGCCGTCGATGATTTTTCACTAAGTCCTGAATGTTTTGGTTTAAATATACCGGACGAACACTTGAACGGATATAACTACTGGGACATGAGGCATAACTATAAGAGTCCGTCACATAAAGACTTTGAACATAAACACTGTACGTACCAAACTAATTCGTGTTTGAATCTTGTATTACATACGTGTTTGCTGTATTATTTTCTTATAGATTTAGAGTTAACAACGTGTGATACGCGCGGTATGATAGGACCGACGCAATTACAATGTGAAGCATCTTATACTGCAAATAATAAAACTCTGGTGCTCAAGGAGGTGTGGGTGGAAGAAGGCCAAAGTACTTATAAGGGCATGCAAAAGTGGAAGGTACCAAACGAAGGCTACTATACGTAAGTTGAGATACTAATATACCATATTATAAATAATTTCAATTGATGTGTATATCTGTACACATTTTACAGCATTATAGCCAAAGGTGCAAGCGGCGGCTTAGGATCCGGTGGTGTAGGTTCATCTCGTGGTGCTATGTCTACTGCGGTACTGGAATTACATAAAAATGAAGAATTATATATTCTAGTAGGACAGGAAGGTGAAAATGCTTGCATCAAATCCATGAGCTTTAAAGAAGAAGGCTGCGGTGCTGATGCGCCAGAACTAGATTTAAGTAAATACAGTTTTAGTTCGAAACAACATATGGTGAGAAATATTTACTTAGAAAATGGTGCTGGTGGTGGAGGAGGTGGCTCTTATGTCTTCTTGGTAAGTCTCGTAAAAATATGGGAATATGGTTGCTTTATTGAAGACTGTTTTATTCACAAAGCTTAATTCGGCTAAAAATGAGGCAGTTCCACTTGTTGTTGCTGGTGGCGGTGGTGGTCTGGGCATAGGACAATATATTGATGAAGACTTTCAGCATGGTCAAAAAGCAATTACATCACGTGAGGGTGTTACAGGTCAAATACATGAAGAGCCACTCAATAAAAAGACAGCCGGGCCTGGAGGCGGTTGGCGTGCTAAAGCACACCAGGCACTTAGTCCGAAGTTTGGTGCTGCCCTTTTGCAAGGTGGTCGCGGAGGTCATTCTTGCTATGTAGAAATTAATAATGGAACCACAACTAACAAACATGGCCAAGGTGGCTTTGGTGGTGGTGGTGGTGGCTGCAATACAGGTGGTGGTGGAGGCGGCTATGCTGGAGGAGACGTCTTTCTTAACGAATCTAATGGTGAAGGAGGCACATCTTTTGTTACCACAAGTCGTAGCTTAAGAGAATTCACAGTTATATATGAAGGTGCCACAAGTGGTCCTGGTTCAGTCATTATAATACCGGCTATTGAAGGTTGTGGTTGCGATTTTCGCTGCATAGCACTCGATGAATACAGATCGTCTGTTCGTTGCATATGTCCTGATGGCTGGCGTTTAAAGAAAGATAATCATACAGCTTGTGAAGGTAATTTTACCAAAATAAATATAATAAAGACTGATCATCTAAAATATTCTCTTTAATAGTGATGGCAGACGAAGGCATTACTTTTGCACACCTAATAGGTGTTTTCATATTTTTGGTTGTGCTTTTACTCTTTTTCATAACAGCACTCATAGTTATCTTATGTGAGTAAACAATTCATAAAATTTTTGTAGATAAGAAATATCTAATCTTTCATCTATTTCTTTACAGATAATCGTTATCAACGTAAGAAGCAAGCTAAGTTACGGCACAAAATGCTTCTGGAACAGGATCTACAATTAAGCCGGTTACGTCACAATGTGGACGACACAAATTTGACCAACTTTAATCCCAATTATGGTTGTGATGGCATTCTCAATGGCCACATAGATGTGAAAAATTTACCACAAGTTGCTAGAGAAAGTCTACGTTTGGTCAAGTAAGTTCCACTCTCAAATCTTGTAAAAGAGTTTCTTTATTCTCACAATAATTCAACTTTGCTTGTGTTCTTCTATGCTAATTATAAAATGAATTTTATTACTTTTACAGAGCACTCGGACAAGGGGCTTTTGGTGAAGTTTACCAAGGACTTTATAGACATCGGGACGGTGATGCCGTTGAAATGCCAGTTGCAGTTAAAACTCTACCGGAAATGTCAACACGTCAAGCTGAGGAAGATTTCTTAATGGAAGCAGCGATTATGGCCAAATTTAATCATCCAAATATGGTACACCTAATTGGTGTTTGTTTTGATCGACATCCCCGTTTTATTGTTCTGGAACTGCTGGCTGGTGGTGATTTAAAGAATTTCCTTAGAGAGGGTCGCAATAAACCTGAACGTCCTTCTCCACTTACTATGAAAGATTTAGTATTTTGTGCTTTAGACGTTGCCAAAGGTTGTAGATATATGGAAAGTAAACGGTTCATACATCGAGATATTGCTGCTAGAAACTGCTTGTTAAGTAGCAAGGGCCCTGGACGTGTGGTAAAAATTGCTGATTTCGGTATGGCACGTGACATATATCGAAGTGATTACTATCGAAAAGGGGGTAAAGCTATGTTACCTATTAAATGGATGCCCCCCGAAGCTTTTATGGATGGTATTTTCACTTCAAAAACAGATGTATGGTCATTTGGCATATTGCTCTGGGAGGTGAGTTCGAATTCTTTAAATAATATATAGTTTTGTCTTAAATCAATGTTAAATATATCAATATACGTATTATGTTATATGCATTTAGAATTATATATGCATTATATTATAAATTCTGCTTTTGTAGGTTTTCAGTTTAGGTCAAATGCCCTATACTGGTTTGTCCAATCATGAAGTTATGGAACTTGTAACAAATGGTGGTCGTTTGGGTGCACTACCTGGTTGTCCACAAGCAATGTACACCATAATGATAAGTTGTTGGAATCCAACACCAGAAGATCGTCCAACATTTACCACACTGCTCGATCGCTTGACGGCATGTACACAGGTAAAATAAGATATTCTTTTAGCATTACAAGGCGTTACAAATAGTAATTTATGATTTAATAGGATCCGGAAGTGATGAATGCACCTTTACCGACTACATACCGCCCACCCTCAACTGAACGCGATCAGACTATAATGCGTCCGCCAGGTGGTGATGAGTTTTGTTTACCAGTACCGCAATCATCGGATTACTTAATACCGTTACCAGGTATACGTAATGGTGGCGAATATGCTAGCGGCATAAGTCGTGGCACTGTAGCAACTGGCTCAGCTACATGTACACCACCAGCAGTAACATCACCATCTGCACCCAATGGCAATTCTATTGGCGATGAGCAAGGTGGTTGCTGGGAAACATCATTTATTTTACCCAGTTCTAAGAGTGATCAACCTTTGCTCAGCTCCACAAATGACTCACAACGCAGCATCAATGGCATTGGTAACAGTAGCTGCGCATCAACTGCCAATGGCAGTGTGCATAGCAGTAATAATAGCAGCCAACGCTCACCTATATTACACAACACTGGCAACAACGGTCCAATAGTCAATAAATTGACAAATGGCAGCGTAAAACCAGATGAGGAAGCCAAGCTTATCAGTCTTGATACGCCACAACCAACTCCAACAACCATACAACCTCCATTATCATTCTCGTCGCAGTTGGACGGAATCACATTGGATCCAGCAGCATTAACTAAAAGCCTACAGAATGGCAGTGCAAACACTGCTGCCAATAAACAATCGTACGCTAATATACAAATGATGTCATCAGCTCATAAGGGTGGCAACCTCGTCACCGCTAATAACTGCGCTGACAAGCTCAGCGAGAAAATGAATGGCGGAGCAGTGCAATTACAACATAACAGCACCAATAACAACAATAACAATAATAATGCCGTTATAACGGTGAATGGCAGCACAGGTACAACTTTGAATGGTGGAAACTCTGCACCTTTCACAATACAAGGATACAATGATCGCTTCAAGGATAACCATGCCGAGATTAGCTGTTAAATGCGAGAGAAACCTTTGAGACCTTTAAAACCTTTGAATATTGGAATTAAATTAATAAAAAATTAATAAATAAAATTGCAGTTCCAAGAGTTGCGGTGAGCGCCAACTCTCTCACGTTTAACGTGTGTAATCTGCGGTTTTGGTGTACAGGGTGCGTTGGTTGTAATTTAATGAACAAACAAAGCAAAACATTTGCATTATTTGAAATTTGATTATATAAGTAATTAAGATTGTTTATAAAATAAATACTTTAACCTACAAGAACATAATGTATAAAAAATAATTAAGTTAAAATCAGAAAAATTCTATAAAAAATTAAAAAAAGTAATTCAACATCCTTTAATATTTAAAACGAGCAAACACATAAGTACATGGTTCTTATTTATGTAATGCGTGTGTATAGATTAATAGTAAAAAATAAAAGTCAAAATCATTAAAATAATTTATTTTATGTAGTAAAATTATTAGTTTATTATTAAATTTAAAATTGTGTAACAAAGCTTGAAAATTATTTAAATATTTTACGAGTGAGAAGGACGTAATACAAAAGTTTAAAAATGATGATAAGAAAATGAAGTATTTTTTAAAAATAATTAAAAAAGTATAAGATAAAAAGTATACAAAATACAAAATATATAAAAAATAAATAATATTAATTTTTGATAATATTTTTTATATAACAAATTAAGCTTATTTGCGCTTAAATTTTAAATTTTTGTTGTAAAAATTTAAAGTTTTCTTTTGCAAATAATTTACTTTGTTTTTATTTTAAAGATTTTATAAAAAAAAAAATGAAGGTTGTATATACATTTTATTATTTCATTATTAGATTTTCCGTAGCATGACATTGTATATATAATTTCACACTTACATAAATATATATTTATACACAAATATCATAAATAAAATTTAATTTTTTTAGTTATTATTTAGAGAAATATTATAGCTGATACTATAGACTATCTTAAATAATATTCTTGAAAATATTAAAAATAGTTTATTATAAAATCGAATTCAAGCTCAAAGAAAAAAACGAATTTAATTTAAAATAATTATTAAAAATGGAAACCATATTGTAAAGTAATTTAATAATTTATTACTAGGTAAAATTTTTTTTATTTTATATGTTTTGATTAATTATAATTTATTTTCAATTTAAAATTGTGTTTATTATGATTTGTTAGATTCTTAAAAGATTCTATATATGGATATATGTGAGAATTATATATATGTGTACATATATTATGCAGGGTATTTATGTAGACGTGTATATTTAAGTACGCATATATAAATTTATATACACGTAATTTGAGTATGCACTGTCTCAGATAAATCAGACCTCTACAAAAAGTACGATTCAGCATCGAAGTTTTTCATAAATTTATTGAACTCAGTACCTTTACTCAATATACGATATACAGTAGACGTCCAATGTAAAGACTATACAGTTTATCGAATGTCCAATTTATCCCATGATAAAATTTAGCCATTGAATATATTGAATACATAATTCGTTACATATAATAGTCAATGATTTAACGAAAAGTTCAGAACAAAAGAACGAATACTAAAAGGATTTTCTCGCTGTGGGGTACTATTGTGGGGCTTTCATATAATCTATTCCACACAGAATACAAAATTATAATTTTATGAGATTTATAAGAGGAAAACTATAAAGCAATTAATAATATTAAGGAACAAACTAACTTGACTTTTATCAAAGAAAAAAAACAACCCAAAAATAATAATAATTCAACTACTAAAATCTGTATTACTTTGATAAGGGTATTCATTCAACTAAACGAATATTTCAATATAACAAAAGGACGTCTATTGCAGCATAAAATAGTAACTCACTATTTACTTTATTTTACTCCAGAGCAACTGCTAATCATAAAACAACGAAGGACGAAATCACTGTTGAGGTTTATAGCAAAGGATTTATATAAAAAGTATAATGATTCATTTAATAGATATGGTTCACACCTTAATAGTGCAATACGATTGCACAGATATTGTTTTATCAAAACAATCGGTCAATAATTTGACTTGCAATTGATTATAACTGTATGTGTACACCTACTTAATCATCACTTAATTAGTATCGTACTTCGTTTGTCTTGGTATTTCCCTCTGAAGTATTTTTTTATGAAAATAGTACATTATTCATATTCGATAGTACATAATTAGCCAACCTGACATGCACACCTGATTCATTTTGTACTTCAACAAAAGTTGAAAGAAATTAACTTTTTATGGAGATCCTTCTAATTTGATTCGTACTATAAAAACAGTATTGAAAACCTTACTATTACGAGTATGTGAGGTTAGCGAACGCAAAGAGATGAAAATTATTCCTATTCCTATTCTGTCATATCAATATTTGTTATCGATCTAGGTATATATTCATCAGCATATTCGGTTGACTTATATAATTAATATTGAAGAAATTAAAAAAACTTTCACATCATAGTTGAACGCATCAGTCGGTATGAAATGGTATCAAAATATTCAATAAACTGCACTTATGGAGACTTGAACAGTTCCCTTCTAACAGTAACAAATTACCACTATCTTCTTCATTGTCTTTTATTTAGAAACTAATATTTGAAGATCTTATATTGCATATTAGTTGTATAATCACACAAATATTGCTCAACATAGAAATTAAGTAATTACATATTAAAATATTCAACTTTTATTTAGTATAGATTAAGGTCGAAAACAATATATATATATATATAATAATGGATGAATTAACAATAATTAATGATTTATAATTAATATCTCCACTTAAGCACATTGTATAAAAATATATTGAAATCGTATATATAATGAAATAAGAAAAAATGTATATAAAATATATTGTATTATATTAAAAGGATAAAAATAACATAAAACCAAAAATGCACAATATATAATAGATATAAAATTCGCAAATCATTTAAAAGAAATCTAAAGCAGACATGAATTAGACACATTTATCTGATTAAGTGCTTTATCTATAAAGATACAATAACATGCAATATAATATTGCATTGTAAAAATATATTTGTTATATAAATTAAATTAAAATAGTATAAGAAAAAGCATAAGAAATAATTTTACTTGAGTCCCTTACAAAACCTGTTAACCACAACCCCTTCACAATATTTCATTTACACAAAAATACAACTTAAATACGGTTCTTTCTATATTATCACATTTTTTTATATATATAATTACATACACATTATATGTCGAATAAAAACATAGCATATATGACAACTAACATACATATATATGTATATGGAAAGCACATCTATTATTACAGAGTTAGTTTGTCAAAGATATTTCTTTACCAGAAAAAATCGAAGTCATAAAATCAACAAAAAATTAATATTAAATATAGAACTAAGGACCGAATTTTCAAGACAGCAGCTACATCAATTTCTGTGAAATATATAAGTGTGCCTATTATTTCTATAAATGAAACCAACATGGTTTGCTACCATTTTAAAAATACAAGATACAAAAGAAGTACGATTCATAAAATATAGGCGAACATAGTCGTAGAAGATTGGCGAAACATTTTCGAGTATTGTGGTGATACTCAATAAGCTCTATTCAAATATATGAGTAGACAAAGCTGATCGAATAATAACATATGCTTTAACGATTGTGGGTTAAATCTAAAAAACCCAGAAACTCATATTAATCAGTTTTAATATGAAGCTACTAAAGCTGATGAATTAAGATACATAGTATATCTCATATAATATTGTTCGATTTAAATTGATTATATCAATTCTATGATATTAACATTTAAGCACTACACATTACACATTACTTGAGTCCATATTGGAAGTTACAGACTACTAGTATGTTTTGGTAGATCGGTTTCTATATTAAATACATGAATTGGGCATACTTTTTCAGCAAATGGTATGAAATATTTATACCAACAATCCTTTAGCATATATATTTCTAGTCTGAACTGTAAATGATGTGTAGACCATATACAGATTCACAAGAAACAATTTTAAACTTATATTAAGTTATGTACTGCTATCTCTAAACTAATATATAAAATAAAAATTGAAGTTGCCATTTTGTTCAAAGTTGGTTTCAAACTTTAGCATCAAATAATACAGCAAAAATAGTCTTCCACTTTAAGGTCAAAATTTTAACTTTGATTTAAACAGCAAATAAATGAATCTGCTGTAATTAAAATAGAACATATTAGTCACTTATCTCTATCACAGATAGAGTCATTATTCATTTACCATTATACATCAATAGAAATTATTATGATTTAAATTACAAATTTTTGGACTTGTGCGATTTAAGTTATTAGTGTAGAATATAAATCAGTTTTTAAAATTGTATATAAATAGTTAAAACAAATATTAATTAATATAAATATATAATTAATATAAATATAACTGAAGGAGTTTTTAGTGAGTATCCATAGTTTAACCTAAAATATATCGCCACAAAATATGTCATTCAATTAATAAAATTTATATATTTTATTTTTAAATAAATCTTATATATAATTTAACATTAAGATGTAAATTGCTATATCAACGTAATATAACTTCCTGGTGGTATATTGAAATATGGAAATATATAGCTCTATACACGAAAAGTTTGAATCAACTCATTTAATGATCTGATAATTAAGAATATTAATCTTCTGCCTTTAACACAGCTAAATAAGAAATGTAAATACACTGAGATTCAAAATTTTAGTAAAATAATTTACTTTTAAATTGAACATAAATCCCTCAGCCATTGACCAACAGAGAGACTACAAAGTGTTGCTCTCTATTTCCATTAGAAACTTGTCGTAAATGTTTAAGAGAGAGAATTGAAAACTACCCTAAATTTAATTAACTCCTCATTTAAAAACCCAATTGAAATGATATTAAAAATATTTATATTTTTAATGTAAAATTATTAACTCAATTTATTTTTGACATTCTCTGAAAAAAACCTGTAATATTTATTGTCATTTTGTTCTTTTTCATCTCAAAAAATTAACCGTTTTGATTTTACTTGTGACTATGTCTATACCAAGAGGCTATACCAAGCGTTAATCAGATTTAAGAGATTGAAGCCATTTTTGTTTATGAAACGGATCAGCTACTGTCGCTCAGCATTTGAGCATTTGATATGGAACAATATGTATTCTAAATATTAAACTTAACAATACAGTTAAAAATTAAATAATAATTAATTTAAATAATTTTAATTATAA